ACTTAAGAGACTAGTCAGCTTGCCTGCATTCCTCATTCCATCTGATATGTGTCTGTGCCTTATAAGAGCTGTCAGTAATATGAAGAGAAATCAAGGAAGATTTTAACTTCTTGTTTGGTCACAGGTTGACGCCAATCTCGCATCACTATTCTTTTAGCTTAAGCTGTGGAGATTTCCTCACTACCCACAATAAGACTGAAAAATTCTACTTCTGTGCATAAAAATCACCAATTTTCCCAATTTCATGTTTCATCTAGTGAAATACCATTTTAGTTTATTTCCATTTGCTAGAATGGAATATGTGTGAACTAATCTGAGTGGTGGTTTTGCTCAGAGTGGCTGATATACTGTGAGATATACCAGTGTTCTGGCTGGTCCTGTATCATCCAGGAATTCGACCTCTCACTCTTCTACTCGCACATACACATAACGAGAGCCATTCAGGTCTGTGTGAGTTGTATTGACTACCGTGGGTTTTACTGCAACTTGTTTGTTACACTTTTCTATGTGGCCAGGGCTGACTTGGGCTTTTCTAGTTTCCCAGAGCTGTAAAAGTAGTATTCACTGACTGATATTGGTTTCCTATACCTTTGCCATCATTGGTCAAAACCAACAGCCTCATCTCCCTCGCTGCTCGACAATGTATGGGCAGCTCACTTGAAAGTGACCTAATGCTCCACAGGCAAAACATGTACTTTTCTTTTCCCCTCTTAGATAACACCATGGTGGAGGAATCAGTATTATACGTTACGAAATACAAACCATGAGAGTACTGGGATATCCATCCCTGTTCACTGGATACATGTGTTGTTGAATTGCAATGCTGGGATGCATGGGTTGTTCGTTGACTATAAGCTACATTTGAACCTTGCGTGATGTGGGTGCTTGGATAGGATGGTCTGTGGCAGAATCACTGCAGCTACTACTTTAAACTTCTCCCTCTCTTGTAACTGACTCTGAGTTACCACTTTGCATTACTTTGTGACAAAAAGTGCCTCAGTAAGGGTGAGAAGATCTCTCGTCTCCAGTTAATATTGTACTGTCTCCTTGGATAGCTCTTCCATAAATTTATCCACAAGGATCTTCTCCTGATCAAGAAGGAGAATTGGTTGTCTGAGCGAGTTGTTGGATCTAAGGAAAGTCCTCTCCTGGATGTGGGACGTTTGAGAATATTGCAAAGGTCGATGACATCTAACTAACTACAAATGATAACTCAAGAAAAGAACTGCCAATATCCGGTGCACTCAGAATGGCAGCCCAGAGGATCCATCACTGTGTGAAGGAAACACAGACGACTGGGTGTAATTTACATGGTTTCCCTCTTCTTAGTCTTAAATTTGACCCGATGGATTGGTCCATTTTCCCCTAGGTTAAGCTTCTAGCTTGCAGTTTCAATGTTGTTCTTCATTTAAGTGCTCAATGGAGTCTTGGGTCAGAGGGCCTCAACTCATAACCAGGTGTTCTAAGATCTGTTCTAGAGTTCAGCCATTAAATGCAGTTATCTCCCTATAATTCTTTGGAAAATTGTTAAAATTTTCCTTTGCTCTTCCCTTAAATGTTGGCAGGGTGTTCTGTTCCCCTCACTCATGAGAACAATGATCATGGCCATATGCTCTCTTTCCTGACTTCCTGACTACCATCTCACTGACATGTCCTCAAAATTGTTTGTACGGTGTGAGAGGAATTCTGAAAGACTCCAACACTCTGATAAGCAGTACGTAAACCCCTGTTATAGGGTGGTAGAATGATGGCAGGTGCTTGGCAGCTTTCCACTGGTTCTGATCGACCCCAAGTTTCTCTATGGTCCACAGTTATCTTGGAAGTATACCTTCCAGCTAAGGAGGCTTATCAATTCTCCATGATACAATCACTTCGCCATGAGGTACCTACCATCCCATCTATTGGTGAGATATCTCTGGTTGGCAGATTCCCCTAATGGCACCTTAAGTTTCTCTCCAATATTATTGGTAACTTCAACTAGAGCTGGAGTTATAATACTCTGGATGGTGTAAATATGGAGACTCTATACACACCACTCCACCTAGTCTCAAGTTCACTAGATGCCACACCACAATGATGATATTCAGTAATTTTGATCTTGAGCTGCCATTCTGGGTGCACAAGGAATTGGCAGTTCTTCTTTCTGAGTTTTCAGATGTAGTTAGTTAGAAATCATGGACCTTGTAGCATTGTCAGAAGCCCCATATCCAGGAGAGGATTTTTCCTAGACCCAACAACTCGTTCAATCAACCACCTTTCCTCAGAGATCAACCATCCCTCTTGGTCATAAGTCCTTCTAGTTGCGAAAGATTTAACTAAAGTATAGGGCAATACACACTTCAGCAGATATAATAAACTCCACAATAACAATATCTTCCAGTAGGCGCATCAACATTTTCTACTATCTATCCACTGTTTGGTAAATTTTTGAGCTATTGGATAGGCCCATTTGGTCGAGATATCAGAAAGTAAGTAATTTTAAAACTCTTACTAACTGACTTGTGATTTCAAGTGAGATAATGAGATTCAACAAAAAATGAAATGCACAATGGCCAATCTCTATTATCACCTTAAACACAAACGCAGTATGTGTACTTTATTTTCCTTACAAGAGACACCCACTGTTTCTGGATTTTTGCAACCGCTTCTGCAAAGTCTTATTCCAGACTGTATAACTCCAATGTTCCTTAGTTCACATTTACACAGAGCGACTAGTTCTACCATAATTTTCATTGCAAAATAGGTGCGGTAGAAATCGCCTGAAGGACATTGCCGTTGATGACCTTACACAACTTGCAGTGTTGCAAGTATATCCTCCTTCTCCTCTCATCAGAGTAGATGCTGACCACTTGAAAACAAGAGTAGCTGGAACGAAATCAAGTGAACGTTTTTTCTCGAGCACACGTTATGTTAAACCTGCACATATGTAGAACAAAGAATAACTAATATAATATTATAAGAAAACAGAAACGCATAATAGGTTTATATACCATAATGCTATAACAGGAAACCTGCAAGAGTTGTTTATTAATTATAATGCAAAGAAAGCAGAAAATATGCTAAACTTGTTTAGTAATTGCAGTACTAAGCAGTGGAACAGAGAACCTGCAAGAGTTGTTTATTAATGGTATGGCTAAAAATATGAAATCGAACAGTACACAAATAAGATTAGTTTATTAAAAGTAATGTTAAGAAAAATGAACCTAATAGAAATTTTTATTAATTAAAATGTTAAGGAATAGAAATGTAGCAGAAAAACCTATTTATTAATTGTAACCCTAAGAAAAATACATTAAAGGGAAAATAGTTTTTTAATGTAAAGTTAAGAAAAACGAACTGGAACAGAGATCCTGAAAGAGTTGTTTATTGATTGTAATGCGACAAAAACTCGAACAGAATACTTGTAAGATTTGTTTATTAATTACTATGCTAAGAAAAATAAATGAAACTGAAATCTACAGCAGCTGTTTTTTAATGCAGTGCTAAGCATTAAAACAGAAAACCTGCAATAGTTGTTCATTAGTTATAAGACTAAAAGCTGTAACAGTTGGCTTTATTAATTGTATAACGAACATGAGTTAAACATTAATAAGAATAATTTATTAAACTTAAGGTTAGAAAAAATAACTCTAAGAAAATATGAGTAAGTTGTTGTTCATGAACTGCAATGATAAATAAATACCTGTAAGATCTGTTTACTAAATAGTCTTTATGAATTTTATTATAATAGAACAATTTTGTTTTTCTGCTTAGCTTTTTTTTTAATTATTGTTGGCTCCGTGTTAATTGGTCATCTCCCTTAACTGATTGTTATGCGCTTGAGTTATATAACGAGGTGCACACAAATAAAACAATTTATTTGCATATTTCATAACTATTTGAGACAATAGAAAGTAGAGAATATTTAATATCCGTTCAAAGCCATTTCTTCTGCTTCCATTAACTGTTGAAGCCTTGATTTGTTTTTATTTTTTAATGAAAAGGAATATATTGTATAGTAAAACATAAGAGTGTAGGATATTTAACGATTGTTAACTATTCTCTGTTTGTGTGATAGTTGTGTTGCGACCTTTAGTTTTTAACTAAACATTTATTTTGTATTCAAATTGTATTAAAAACGAAGATTTTGGCTAGACTGGATTATCTCTCTATACTTTGTAAAGATTTCTTAATAAGTATTATCAAGGTAAATTCTTCCTTGCTCTCACTCATATGTTCTTTGAATTATTAGAACACCTTCTACGAGCTTTGGAACAGATATAAAATGTACAATAAACAGAAGGAGTTGACCATACTAACTGTAAATAAAGAGCTATTGGTCACTTAGATATGGTATTCTGTTGTGTCACATGTTATAGCTGAGGTAATAACGACTCAGATCATTATAGTAACAGCTATGGGTATTCCATTATTTATCGCTACGTTGTGTGAAGTATTGTTGGACTTTTATATTGTCGACAGATATGTAACATTACGGCATGACAGCCTGGGATGAAATAATGTAAAATTGAATTGGATAGAAGAATATTTTAGACGAATACAATGTGATTCTGTGTGGATACATGTATGTATCCCTACTTTCGACCATCAAAGAATGCTACTTTCTTGTAAAATGATCAGGCTATAACTGTTGTTGTTTTAGCGCAAAGCTGCACACTAAGCTACCTGTACTTTGATTACCGTGAGAAATCCACTCCATATTTTGATACGGCAAGTCAATAAACATATCTCTGACCCATTAAAGCAGTCAGGCAAGAAGTACCCGTTTTTTTGTTTTCAATTATTTTTGTTGAACTTTAGTCCGTGAAAATTGTTTATAGTTCTTAGCATTTTGGTTATAAGTTTTGATATTTAAAAAAAATATTAAAACATAGCCTAGCCAAGTTGCGTTAAGATTGTTTACAATTTATAATATCTTTGAAATGTAGTTATCTTTCATCTTTTTTTTTTCTTTCAGTTTATTTTTTGTTTTGAAAGATTCTACCACATCATCAGCCTACCTGGTCACTTTTGCTGAGCGTCTGAAAAGTAGGGAGACACTTGACCCAGCGGATGACCATGAACAGTAATCGAGCTGTCACTTCTTGTACAGATTCTATTTGACCGGCGGACGTGACAGTGGAAGTGGCAGGCAGGAGTGCGGGAAGGACCCCAAGAGAGCTGCGGAAGTGGTTCTCCCCGCTGGCGCAGGAGGCGGGACAGGAGGTTGGGTAGAAAAAAGGAGGTGGGGCTGGAAGCGAAGGGAGGCCGTCAGCTCGAGTGGTAGCCAGTATGGAACCTAAGTTGAAACTTGAGTTAGTACACGCAAGAGCGGAGTTCAGTCGGACTGTATTCCACATGAACTCCTGGGACTTCTCGGCGTTGAGCAACATCTGCAGCAGGCCCGGCGATGCAGCCCCGAGAAAGGCTGACGACGGAGCCGCGGGGATATCTTCTCCTGGGCTAAACATCATAGAAGGTTGGGAGCTCGGAACTCCTACGGAGGCCGCTAGAGAAGTCGGAAGCTTACTCATCTCGAAAGGATGACGTAGTTTGGATCCAAAGGTTGTAGTTCCAGCACTGGTCAGTCCTTTGGTAGGATCAGGTCGGTGTCGATGGTCTTTAAACCGAGGTTTTCTGGGGCCTCTTTCGTGTTGAACAGCTGAAAGGCGCTAATGAACATTAGTCCAGGATAGTTCATTTAATCAAGTGGTAAAAGGTTACATAAATTACATAATATGCACTCTTTTAAGCTAAATCTGTGAAATAAAATGTTCTGAGTGGAATTTAATCCATTCGCTACATCACGCTATCTGTCTTAAAACATCATTAGTGACTAAGTATTGTTATAACAATAGTCAGGTTTTCAAGCATAAACTTAGCATAGTACTGTTACATTTATGAACTTAATTGTTATAAGTCTTACTGCTAGAGTGTCTTTATGAGGTAAACACTTGTAAATGTATTTGTAGGATCAATACAGAAATGTTCAACAATAGGGTAATACAAGCTAAAAGTATTAATATAAAAATGTTACTATCAGGTATAACAATATCCATGATCAATATGTGCATATATTATCAAAAGACACATGCGTAAAACCCAATGGTTAGTTTGATATGGATAAAATCCTTGGTAATAGTTAACATGCTCTCATGTCACTAATACAGCTAACGTGTAAAATCTACTGAAGTGGTCAATATAGGAACAAAAAACAAAAACAGTTCATAAATGTCAGAATACTGAATAGCGATAGTACAGTCACATCTCAAATACTCATTTATAAGGTCAAGGTAAGTAAATCCGTTGGAAAGGCTTATTGTTACGGATAAATATGCACTCATACCTCTCACACAACTAACAAAGAACAACTGAAGAATAATCAGAATTTACTATATGTTAACTAATGCAAGGTAAATCCATTAATATAAAATAATGTTCATCACCACCTCATTGTTATACAAGTCAAGCGCCTGATGATCAGTCGGTGATTTGAAATGCAAGTGATCATTCATTCAGTCCATGCTGAATATAGCGGTCTTGTTTCAATTGTAACAGAGAATAAAGTGATCCAGATCGTTCATAAACTGTGGCACGAGTACACTAGAGAGGAAAGATCTGAATATTTCACCCATGTGGAGACATCGGAGGAATGGGAGTTAACCAATCATAGAGAACTTTTATGGAGTAGCTATTGGTGTCTCAAAGTGCCATTATAATAATGTTGAACTGCATTCAAACCAATAGTAAAGTTATTCAAACATCTGGACAAGACTGAGCATAGTTAGCTACCAATTCTGGCTCGAGATAGCAATAAGGTGTTTGCTCTGAGATTGAATCAACTGTTCGTAGTCGTATTTTGATGCCATGTCGGAAGAGACATATTTCACAAAGTCGGTCTTTATGGCAAATGCCCATGTAGGTGCACTCTGTTCACATCAAGGCAAAAAATTGCAACTCGCATGAAATGGTGCCAAGAACATATTTAGTGGACCAAATACACACGGATTAATTCTCATTTACAGATAAATCGTGCTCACCATGAAGCCGTATAACAGATCCAACCTCATCTTTATGTATAAACCTGACGCATATGGTAGCAGTGGAAATACTGAGTGGGCAGAAATAAACATTCGTAGAGCTACTGACCTTTACGTGTTGAGGAATGGTGCCATTAATGTCACATATGATAGGGACGACATCGTACGACCCTTTGTGCTGATACAATCACCCTAACGGCATCTCTGTCTATATGTGGTACTGTTTTTAGAGACTCCTCGCATCTATGTACTAAGGATACCCTAGGAAAAGCTCTTTTAGATGACTGGTACCTCAGGACCTTATCAACATCAATTTTCAGCACGTAATGTGTATGCCAAGTTGCTTTTGTTAGCCACACTCCATACTGAAGTGAAATGTCAAGATCTGTAAAGATGTAAAACTACCTCGACCAGAAAAAATTCATTTCTCACCGTACACTAAATAACCATTAATTTAAGATCAGCAACCCGATTTACATAAATATTAGTTGAGAGTGGTTCTTTACATTATTTTATGACAGTGATTTTAACTTTTCTTTACTAATATGTTATCATTCACAGTTTTACTTTAACTGTTTATTAGAGTGTACATAGATAATGTACCTTAAAATATATTCACAGCTAGATCCATCGTGAAGTTAATACCGTTTAATCCTGCCTTAGGGGCAACTATAATACATACTTTTAGTACATTATTGAACATGTGCAATTTCTATTTTATCGTATTAAGTTTTCTAAAAGTTACTTAGGAACTCTTATTTCATAATTATTGTAAAACGTATTAGTCTAAAAACAAGCAGTTGTCTACTAACATGCCTTCGTATTAAAGCTATAGAGACTTTTGATCCTACCATATTTAACACTTTTCCCTTTTAACGTGTACATAAATAAGAATAACTTTGATAAAAACCCAAATCTAAATATCTATTATTATGTCTACTTTATTATGTAAGGTTTGCGACATGTAATATGTGAAAACACAGCATCGTTTATAATGTGATAAGTTTTACCTTTATACGACTTAAAATTAATATGTTATGATAAAGCTAGGTATGTTAAAGGTTTACTCTGTTGCAAAATGGTAGCTGTTTCTTTTCATATCCAAACATATCGGATTTTCAATACCTGGTCTAATGCAGGTGTTTACTAACAGCTCCTCTCACTGCTATTGTGATGATGTTCAAGATTACTAGAGACTAGGATCATATAATGCGTTACTTTCTTAACGAAAAGTAAAATAAAAAAAACGGTAGGATTGAGAAGTAAAGTAGCAGGAGAAGACGACTAAGTTGAAACGTCATAGGGGATAATGGAGTTACAGCTGCATGGTCACGTATTGAGAGAAGTCGAACTTCGTGTGATGATTTGCACAGTGAACACAAGACGCACGAGACGTGACACCACGCGCTGCACCAGGGATGCTGGCATGGTCAATAGAGGAAAGGGGAAGGATTACTTGCTAACGTCAGCACGTAGGCTGGTAAGGGTGGCAATAATTCTGGCGGCTTAGCGACGGCAAGATCAGGCTGAGCAAGCTTTTACTTAAACAAACACAGAGCCCAAGTGCTACTTAAACTGGTAACAATAGTCAGAAGGAGAGGCGAGTTATCGGAAATCTTTACGTTTGCTCACGAAACTTCCAGGCTGTGGGAACACTTCCAGAGGGTCAGAGCGTGTAAGCTACCCGTGTAACGGTGGTTGTTACACGCCCCAGAAGGTTGGCTGCACAGCATAATGTCTCGTTAGTCTAGTAACTCTAGTTAGTTAAGGAGATTACATGGGGGGATAAAGACTTGGCAGGCTTCCAGATAAATGTTAACTTGACCTTACAATGTAACTTAATTTTAGATTCGATTTGAACTTCTACCCTGAAGGAAATCTGTCTCGAAAAGCACATACATTAGTACGTTGTTCGTTCAATCCAGAAACCAATTACTGTTATTTAATAGAGTACCAACCAGGTGGTTTGATAGATAAATGTTGCACGGAAAGTTTTTTCTTCATTTAAAATTTTCTTCTTCACTTTCTCACCGATCTGTCAAACGAAAGCGCATAACAGGTATTATCGAGTATACTGTAAACAAGCGGGGTAAGAAACACAAGCTCGTTCTCTTGTTTGAAAATGATATTTTGCAAAAAATATAGCTCGTTCATGAAATAATACAAAACTATAGAAGCGCGTGTGAACATTTATTTATAAACAAGTAAGTGCAATATAAAAACTCTGGTATTCACACCAGTCAATACACACGTATATTAAATGCAGTAGAATATTATACAGGAATTTTGGAGCTAATCGTAATTATAGAGTCAAATTAATTCAGATAATTCAAATATTTACCTAATAAAGAAATGCAAAACATAATTATCATTGAAATAAGTGAAACTTTTGAAAAATCGATAAATATATAGATATAAGAATAAACTCAAAGTTAATTAATATTTATTTTCAATTTAACCCAGCTTTCAAACGAGAGTTACCAAGAGCAAACTGCGCGTGCTAAATAAATGATAAATAAGTTGAATGAATGAAAAGATAAACCGATGGCCAAATAGAAAAAAGCCTGCTTTTATGAGTAAATAATAATAAAAGAATAGATCCATCGTTAATATTCTATTGAACTTGTAAAACAAAATACAACAATGTAAATCATATGGTGATAATTTGGAAAGTAGATTACTCGGATATTGATATAAATGACGAGACAAAAAACTGGTTTAATGCTTAATTTCCTAGAAGTTTACATAAACACTACTTTTTGATTGATGCTATTAAAACATCGGTTTAGCAATAAGTGGAATTTAAGTAAGTTAGGAGGTATTATAGATGAACGTGGTATGTTTTTCTTGGGAAAATAAAGCAAAAACAGAATGGTGTGAAAATGTAAGTATCATCGAAATATTGTTATTATACAAGGTGCTCTGATGGACAGTAGTAATAAATAAGCTGAAGATGTATGAGTATGAAAATAAAAATATGTCCAGTACGTGAAATATGAGACAAAATCCAAAAAAGAAATAGTGTATCGTAACGACATTTTAATAACTTTTATTGTCTATTATTCGCCATTGTAACAACTAAAAAATTAAACATGTTTTAGGGGTAGGAAAGTTAGACCTCAATATGGCGAACTGAGACCGTTCATCTAATCAAAGCGGTCAAACGGTTTGAAATTCGAGTTTATTCATGTGTATAAAGTAACCTTTCTCTATATTTATTTATAATTCAATGCTGTAGTTATTGTAGTAACATTTAGATTTTTCGTTTTTCTTGTAAGATAATATAAATTACTTACTTTAACACACATTAGTAGAGATAAAATTATAGATGGAGAAGCAAAACGATAAAGAGAAAAATATGTATAGAGAGGTAGATACAGATAAAAAACAACATAAGAATGTAGATAGACAAATAAACAACGATAGACTGCTTAATGCATCTACGGATAACTAGTTAAGTGAGTAGATAAACGGAGAGATATTCAGTTGTTTTTAACGAAGCAAACACACAGCTGAGAACAGGATTACAATTCTCTAACACATTATATTTAAAGACTAATATTTTGAAGTGTTTAGTATATAAGTAAAAAATCTCATTTTAAAAATCAAGTAAATATACAAT